CGCCGGTGGACGCTGGTGGTAGCTGGTGGACGCTTACGACAAGTATGAACGCAGTCTTAGAAACGTGGTCGTCAACGTAAACATCTCGCAAGTGTTTCATTTCATGAACCACAAAGAACCTTTTTGATATTCTGAGACTGTGTTGAAAAGATGACCTTACGCCGCTTCTCTCCTGCATATGTCTCTTTAATACGCATGAAGCCTGCTTACAAACCACGTATGTCGTGATGAGGAGATCCTATAGCTCCGCGCAATGAAAACGGAGCGTTCTGGTTCATTTCAAAATGTATACGACTCCCGTCCGTGGATTTCCTTACTTTGAACCAATCGATTACTCGTGGTCAAGAGATATTTCATTTCGACTGATCGGGTTCGAGAACGGGAGTTTCGAGTGCCTGTTGACGTGACCTCTGAATCCTCATCGCTTTTTCAACGTCACTCTCGTCCTTGCGCAGCCAACTGCGTAATTGGGAAGAAGCAGAATGTACGTGAGGAACATCTTGAGTTTCGGAATTGCTACTGGAAGAAATGACATAAGTTGTGAATCCGATGAATTTTCTTCAGATCTGCTCCTTTAGTCGTTCCACTTTGTTAAGTGGTCAGGTCGTAAGTAAATGGTTGATGATTTGTCTGATCGCAATAGCCTTTTCTTGTGGAGACAGGAACTCATTCATTAGTGGAGAGTAATCAGTTGGCAGCTCGAGCCCTGGAATCCCCCAAGATCGACCTGCTCTTTACCTTCTTGGAGGAATCTGCAGCTGTTGCAGGTCCACTTATTTCTGCTAGTACGAGATATAAGACTACAGCAAGAGAAAGATGTGAGAAACCATCCGTTTTCTGTGAAATGTGACCTTCCTGGACTTTTTAAGCTAACTGTTCATAGGCAAAAAGTGTGTCAGAATCGAGAGAGGACCAGTCTTCGGCGATATGATAAACCTTGAATAAAGTTCGGAGCAGTTCATCTTGTTGGGCACCCTAGTGGTATCACCAGAATTTGTGCAGACCTCCTGGTGAATATCTGTTAACTCCTGCGACAAAAGTGCTCACTTACACCATTTGGCAGCTTCAGAAGAGTTTGCAGGTCCCTCCAGAGACCTGTCGGTTAATAAGAATTTAAAAATAGGAACAGGCAAAACTGCAGAATGCCACTCCCAAGCCGGACAGCGCCAAAATGCTATTATGCATTCCGCCGTTCCCCCGCGCAAACCGACCACAACTCTATTATACATTCCCACCGTCCAATAGTGCAATAGGATTGTTCAGCTTCTTACTGATGAGAAACGACTGTGTATCAACGGAGGTGAAGCCGGTGTATGAATCATCGTCACATTCACAATCAAGGGGATTCGCACGCACGTAAAGTTTTTTCTTCTCCACCGAGATGTCGACATACTTCGCCCATTTTCGTGCATTCTCGCCACTGTTCACAGCAAGAACCGGTATGTAAGTAGTATACGCTAGTATTATCTTCCATCTTTCAGCATCCAGTTTTGAAATGTGCTTCACGTAGTATTAGTATGCTGACGTTATCACTTGATTACGCATGATCAGTCATTGTTCACATCTTTCTCGCTATTGTTATACAACATTTCCGCCTATTCGACGCTATTCTGCACTACTACCAGAGTACGTCCTGCCGCGGGGAATTTTCAGAAATACGACCCTCCCCCCTTCGTTCGCTGGAAAACGGCAGAAACCGCGCCAAGTCAACAGCCTTTTTCAATTGTTTTCCCTCGAAACACCTCGAATTTCTCCTCAAAGGCAAATACGACGCTACTCCCCCCCCTCCCCGGAGACGAAATACGACCCCTTTCTCAAGATTCCTCAATATACGACGTGATCTGACTACTACGTTGCTAGGTGCTAGCCCAATATAGTTACGCACTGCGAGCGGTCGTCCGAAAACCCATTTTGCACATATGGATCGGCCCACCTACCTCAAAGCTTCTTCTCCTGCCTGACCTTCGATATTTGCAATGAACTTCCCTCAACGAAGCCACGGAGGTTTTTTGGACGGGCACCCTAGCGCTTATACCAATTCGGGGCCGAGGCTGCTTCAGATGTTGGGCAAATTGCCGGAATGACGTCAATCACATAATCGTTGAGCTAGCCACAAAGGAAGCAGCATTACGCTCGATTGCTTTCGAGTGTATCTCCCTGAAAATGTGCTCCACCTAGAAAATTTTCTTGACTTTGTGTAGAGAGGTCCGCAGCAGGTTTTTAAGACGTATTCATAATCGTCGTCGATCATTTCGGCGAGGGGGGAGGGGCATTTTACTACTTCGCGTCGACGTGTCCGACCATGTAGAGAGCCTTTTCTTGAGCTGACAGGTTTCTACCATGATGGCTCGACGAGCTTGCTCCAGCTTCACAAGAGTTCACAGGTTTCACCAGAGTGAGACTTGTAAACCGGAACTAGTGAAGCAGCGAAGTGCAAAATGCCCCCCCCCCTCACCGCCGTTGAACTGCGCCTCATCGTCTAACGACGCATAAGTCGATTCACGACACATTTTTGAGCGACCTGCTTCGACCTACAGTCTTCTTCGGTGAACATCTTGCCCCACATTCCGCGAATCGCTTGGATCGCTTGAGCTATCCGATTTCGAAGTATGAACGCGCTCTTTGGCAAATGTTGTCATCATTTTCCCCATAATCTCGAATATAAAGTGTCGCAGGTGTTCTGCATCAAAACGCGTACATATTCTGGTTTACTTATCACTGTTACTGTTCTAAATGCTACATAGTTTCAGGTGTGATGAATTGAGCACAGTATCACGGCGGCATGGTCTTCCGATTCGTGCGAAAACCGCGCAGCGGTTGTCTGAAGCTGCTCTATCTTGCCGCCTTCGTTTGCGTGTTCCTCTTTGTTTCAAATCAACTGAAGAATTCGCAGTCGCTGGCAAAGGCTATAGTGGCCCCATTCGAAAAGGTGAGTAGAGATTTCCATTGTGAATTTTTTTATCTTCCGGGCTTCATCAGTAGAGCGTTGTGATGCCACTGGAGATCATAGCATCTCAGCTGCTCGTTCTTAGAAAAGCCTCCAGACTTGCTGATAAGAGAATACGATGGGGGAGTATGCAGCAGTGTAAGGTTTTATGTATGTATATATGAATATAATAGAATCCCATTAATTAAAGACAGCCCCCGCGATCAAAGTGGCTCGTGGTCGCCTTTGCTGTGCAAGTAGTCTAGCCTCCAAGCTAGAAGACTGTTCACCTTTCGCGACTCTATTGTGAGCGTGGAGGCTGCTATAGCCGCTCAAAGTGCTAGTTCTAACTCCTCCTCAGTCGGACCGCCTTTACTTGATGTCCTCCGACGGAGGCCACTCACTTGTTCTTAGTTGGGGCGGCGGGCATTGCTAATGCCCCTGGATAATTCTGCTCTCCTTCATTACAGTTTACTCATTGGAGGTATATACATTCAATTCAACCCATTTCGCGAGGTGAAACGCGTAAAAAACACGAGTGACGCAAATGTTTCGTGATGCGAAACCTCGACGCACAAAACGTGCGCTACCGTAATCCCAAATTCAGACACCGCGTTGATAAAATTCCTTTTTCCTTCCAAGAGTTTTTCCTCTGCGTTTTTGTTGTTTTCTTTTTGTATTCTTTCTTTTGCACTGGATGATATCAACTACTGCGAGATGTGATAGAGAGATTTTGAGCTAGGGGTTGCACAGAGACCGCAGGGAGGTGTGACTGTGAGGGAGCGATTTTGTTTATGTTGTTCTGGAGGACGCTTCTTGCCTGTTTTCTTCTTTGGGAGATTACTTATCAGCTGCTGTTTCATAATTGGAAAGCAGCTATCCATGAGACTTTTATCGCGGGAGCTGTCTTTAATGTTGTGACGGGGCCCGTAATCGTTGGGGGTTTTTGATCTGGAAAATGGTGTCGTATTTCGGCTAGGGAGGCGGAGGTGGTGTAGTGACAAGTGGCGCGCTTACCACTCGCGCGGCGCGGGTTCGAATCCCGGGTCGACTCCCGCCCAGGCCAACCAAGCCTTCTACCCTCCGGGGACGGTAAATTGGTACCAGATTCGTCTGGGAGGATAAAACACTGACTTGTACATCGGCTGGCCACCGCAAGTCATTGTATAGGCCACATCGCATTCAATAAGCCACTACGATTCTGAATGGAAGTAGAATGCGTGCCGCATCCCACAAAGGGATTGATCAACGGCGAAGACTTTATCCTTTATCCTTTAATTGGGCTAGGAACGATTTTCGGTGACGATTTTCGTCAGGTGCGTTATAGATCCCCGCCTAGCTAGAGATGTCGCAATTTTACTATTTTGTTAGTTCGTTGCACCCTTGATCGACTGATCTTGTGGGTGGAGGGAGGCAGGTGATGTATTTTGGAAAACTACCGGTCGGGACGAAGGAATGGTGTGCCTTCATGAAGTAGCATTGATTGAAATCACAAGGAAAATAATGGTGTGAAACAGAAGAAAAAGGTCTGTTTGGTCTCACTTATTGACGGTTTTCGAGATTTAATCTTCACGAAGCTGCCGATTTGTGATTCTCGAACGCGAGAGTGAAGTCACTTCAGTGTCTCTGGTTGCTACAGCAGACTCACCTTTTTCTTTAGCGCCCAGTAATCGTAATCGATATTTTTTCGCATCTTTCACGCAAACTATCCAATTTTAGCAACGTGTGAATAGACTCGGGAATCTGGAAAATCGAACATCAAAGTAGATAGATCTCGATTTATGCCCAAAATAGTACCTACTCAACAAACCGTTCTGATCGGGCCTGTATCTGTTTTTCCTTCGTTTCACCATTGATCACCATAAGTTTTGTTTTTCCGTACATAAGGCGGAAAAGGGCATATCTTAGTTGAGAATTACCCCAGAGGAGTCACATCATATTTCAGAAGTTGTGGTCTTGTGTTCATTGAGGGAGTCATGATCATGGCAATGGATCCGGGAAGCTTTGCGAAATTATAGTTTTCTGGACTATTTCTTTTAGAGCGGAACTATTTTTCCTTTGTTTGTTTTTTTGGATGGTACAATGTGACCATCAGGTGGGGCCTATATGGAGGATTTTACCATTTGCAATGATGTTACCTGCGTGGAAACCCATAAAAATTTAACTTCAGTGTCAGTATGGACTTACCATAATCCAATTTGACATGAATGAAAATGTAAATCCATTGCTGGCAAATGCATAACATCACATTTGTATCCATATTTCCTCCAGATGATGTGTGTGTCAGCGAGTGCGGGTTTGCTAAATCCGTTCTCTACCAGTTGTTGAAGCGAGTAAGCGGCAACAGTTGGTGGAAAATGACTGACAAGGAACCCTCACAAGTTCTCGTGCCAGACTACACGAAAATGACAAGATCGTTGGTCTTTTTTCCTCTCTTGTTCTTCTTCTTTCTAACCTCTGGTTCTATTGTATGTGCGAGTGTTTAGTTATTTTCTGCATACGTAGGTTATTAGAATATGAACATTTTTATTGGCATCCCTGGGTTCCGGGACGTTTTGACCTTCTCGTCTTCTTCAGAAGCCTGAATATGGAAGCTTTCAATTTGTCAGTCAATCCCAATCAAGCGCCTTCCCCACTCTAGCGTTTCCGACGTCCGTGCGCCGAACGTGTTCGATCCACCAAAATCATGGTTGTGTTGTTATTGCTGGTTTTTTTCTCGCTAGTGTACTAAGATATCTGGATTATGTTCGTTTCCATATATGATCGAGTTTCCGCAGTGACAAAACTGGAACTCCAAAGACAGTACTTTATGTAAAAAGCTTCTAAAAAGTCTAGTTTTTTTGAGTATTCAAAAATTCAGAATTGGTCAATCCTCAATCCCCCTCGATTTTATTTTCAAACTTTGGTCGTACTTATGCGCGATTTAAGGAACGAGCACTGCATCCGCTCCCGGAAGAGTCTAAGGAATATGGGAATCATGACCATGCAGTCGGAGCTCAAGCGGAAGGTGCTCCTTTGCCAATAATCAAAAACGAAGATGGTGACGGTGTGGATCCTGATCGAGTCGATGGACCAGATGCGGTGTAAGTTCGTTAGAGCTATAACTTCAGCTGTGGCGCCGTTCGGCTTGGAGTGTGGGGGGAGGGGGGGGGAGGGGGTACAGGTGGTACATATCAAATCTTGTACAGGCCACTTTGTGGAATTTCACAAGGTTTTGTAACCATAACTGCTCACTTGTGCCGTTCCTGCAGTTTCACATCACCAAAATGGCTTCTGTAATTGGCGTGGATTAAAAAAATGAATCTGCGAGAGAGCAAAATGCCCTTCCCGAGCCGAACAGCGTCTTCAAGTAATTCTTTTTATTGAACTCCATAAATTTCAGTGCCTACAAAGGTGAACAAGATCAAGAGCAGATGCCTGCTGTGGGTGCTGTGGCTGCAAATGATGTGTTTGGAAAGCAGTCCCACAATGCCCGTCCTGATGCAGATGATGATTCCTATCCCCATCTTAACACGAATGGGAAATTCATTCCTCATCGAAGAATCGTTCATATAGATCTCAAAGGAGGAGCTTTTAGGGTTGGTTCATTGTTCGCCCCTCTAGACGTATTATTTGTTAAGTACTATATTTCAGCCAGAGTTCTTTACTGAAATTTTCTACTACTTAAATCGAATAAAAGCAAC